GTGTGAAGGAGGCCTGTATCGTGCTGTCTCTCTCTCTCAGTGTGTCTCTCTATCTCTCAGTGTGAAGGAGGCCTGTATCGTGCTGTCTCTCTCTGTGTGTCTCTCTGTCTCTCTCAGTGTGAAGGAGGCCTGTATCGTGCTGTCTCTCTCTCTGTGTGTCTCTCTGTATCTCTCAGTGTGAAGGAGGCCTGTATCATGCTGTCTCTCTCTCAGTGTGTCTCTCTGTCTCTCTCAGTGTGAAGGAGGCCTGTATCGTGCTGTCTCTCAGTGTCGGCTCAGCTCTGCTCCTGCGGGACGTCCTGCAGCAGGGGGACAGTGGCTCGGACGTGACCTCTGACCCCTCACAGCCGTCACCCGTTGCAGCGCTGAACGAGGTGGGCATCTACAAGCTCTCGCCGGGCGACGTGCTCATCCTGCTCAACCTGCGGGCACACTGGCCCGGGCAGTAACCGAGACTGCCCCCCTGTGGTCGTGCTGTAATGGCACAGCCCTGATTCGCCCTCGACTGCGCTGTGCACACGGGTACAACACTAACTGGACCGAGCTGCGGAAAGCATTCCCGGAAAAGTGTGGGAAACAGGCAGAGCCACCTGCAAATAAAACTGGATTTCCAGGCCCGGGAAGCCAAGGGAAGAGAAGATTGACTGAGGGGTACTGTGGTTTGCTGGGCGGTGGGGGGTGAGGGGTAAAAAGGTTTAAGCATCCTAATTGAACTGCTAAACCAATTAAATTAAATGGCACCCATGTAACATTATGCCTACATGATTAATCAGGATTTACATCATAAACCCTCCAGATGAGAAAAACTGGGAACTTAGCCCTTGACGATTTATTAGAACTCTGTTCTGCACAGCACCCGCTGGACTGAGGCGCAGATCGGAGCCACGCAGGGGTGGCAGTGACCCCAGCACCTCGATTCTCCTGCCTGCTTCATAGTCTTGAACACATCCCACTGCTGAAACCGAAAAAACCCAACAGCAAACAGGTAGCAAGCCTGAACTACACAACACCTGTCTCTGGTTAATAGGTGCTGCTGTGTGCAGCTCATGAGGTCTGAAATAACCTAAACCTCATTGCCATCCCTGCACTGCCCTCCCACACTGCAGCGCCCCCTTGTGGCCAGCTGGAGCGCCAGCTGGACCAGCACACCAGTGGGACAGCAGCCCCGAACTGCTGCTGGCTGGCTGGAGCCCCAGTGCAGGACAAGCCCAGGGGCTAGACTCATGGTCTCCTGTGGTTATGACTGTGTTCACAGCAGTTTGGCTACAGCCCTGGAGTTCCAACGGCATGTTTGAACACTTTGCACCGAAAAAGGTGTACTCACCCGTTTGTTATTTCCGATGCCCCTCGGTGTCAGCTCAGCGTTCTGGTGGTGTGGTCAGAATGCGTCTGAGATCAGGCGGCCAGCGGGTGCTCGCCGTGGAGACTGCAGCGGAGAGGACAGCGATCTGCGGGGTGTTTCTGAAAAGCACCAGGAGACTTGGAGCTCGGTTACTAACCTGCCCAAGTCATGCTGCAACAACTTAGACGGGATCATGTCAGATTTCTAAGACAATCTGAGCAATCATAAAACTACTGTCATTGGTCTTAACCAATCATGACCTCCTAATAATCCCCCTCTCTGAACTGGCTTCATCACTCTGTTCTCCTCCCCACTGAGAGCTGGTGTGTGGGGAGTGTACTGGTGCACTATGGTTGCCGTCACATCATCCAGGTGGGGCTGCATACTGGTGGTGGTGGAGGGGAGCCCCCATTACCTGTAAAGAGCTTTGAGTGGAGTGTCCAGAAAAAATAGCTATATAAGTGGAGGGAATTATCATTTTTGCTTGTTTGATTTCTCCCCTTTCTCACTTTTGGTCTGACCTTTGCTTGACCTTAAATACTTATTTAAAAACACAAGGATGAGTACAAATGATATTCTATTTAATTTGGTTCCAAAGCTGTTTCTTGAAAGACACCGGTGTATCAGCATTGATAACATAAAGGTATTTATCCCTTTCCAATGATGTCCCATTTTATGTAATTACCATTTTTTAAATTGAATATTACTCATCAAACATTGAAGGCACAAACCAAACACTCTTATGGGAGAAAGAAGTTAAAGATCAGCAAAATCTGCCCCAAAAATCCTAGCTAGAACCTGTTGATTTCACAAGTATTCACCCCCCTGAGCTGATACTGGGAGGAAGCGCCTTTCACAGCTATCAGAGCTGCAGGTCTTCTTGGTTATCAGGGGAAATATCCCTGCTCTCGCTCCCAGAGTCACGGGTCAAGGGTCACTGTAGTGAGGCACTGTTTTGAGAAACCCTTGCTGCTTTTTCCCCTGGTCATTTTGTCCAATAGCAGAAGAGAACGGTTGGAGAAGTCTGCGGCCCTAGCAACCAGGAGGAACGACGGCTCTGTGTCCTGTTCAGCAGGGCCATTAGGAGATAAAAGGAATCTCCTCACCCATTAGAGCTCCTATGTCACAGTGAGCGAGCTGCCCAGTGGAGTCTCTGTGCTCCAGACAGCCAGGCTGATACCACTCAATTACCTGCCTCTGTCTCCCGGAGACTCCTGTGTGTCCTGAGCCCCTGAGTGTCCCAGTGTGTCCTGAGCCCCCGAGTCTCCCATTGTGTCCTGACCCCCTGAGTGTCCCGATGTGTCCTGAGCCCCCAGGTCTCCCGGTGTGTCCTGAGCCCCTGAGTGTCCCAGTGTGTCCTGAGCCCCCGAGTCTCCCATTGTGTCCTGACCCCCTGAGTGTCCCGGTGTGTCCTGAGCCCCCAGGTCTCCCGGTGTGTCCTGAGCCCCCAGGTCTCCCGGTGTGTCCTGAGCCCCTGAGTGTCCCGGTGTGTCCTGAGCCCCCAGGTCTCCCGGTGGTCCTGAGCCCCCAGGTCTCCCAGTGTGTCCTGAGCCCCCGAGTGTCCCAGTGTGTCCTGAGCCCCCAGGTCTCCCGGTGTGTCCCGAGCCCCCGGGTCTCCCGGTCTCCTGTGCCCTGAACTCATCACACAGCAGAGACACTCAGGCACTGAGGCATCTCCTGACTTCATGACAAGAAGGGGGTTTACCCTGCCTCTGCTGAGCTTCTGCCTCGGTGTCAGGACAAACTTTGAAATATCCCAAAAGGACTGGTTCCGTGAGTAAAAAAAACTCTGCTTGTATCGGCGCAATGCTCTGTCCAGTGTCCAGTTGTGTCCCTCTGTCTGCTTGCTTTGCTCCGTGTGAAAGAGTTTTTGCTTAATTTTCTTTATGGCTTAACCTTAATGAAATAAGACGGCAATCAGGTTGAGTAAGTGATCTAGAGCTGTGAATTCCCTGTGGGAATTCTAGTCCAGCACCGGATAAAGCTGACTGGTCCCACGGCTCGCCTGTGCTACAAGCCCGTGAACTTGCCTGCTGGTCTAATGATAATATACTGTACCTTATAGCTCCATAGCCAGTGAAGGAAATTCCCTTTGTTCTTCCGAGAGATACACTAAGTACAAAGGCAGCAAAATATAAGCTTGTAAGCAGAAAACTTTTGGTAAAAGATAAATGAAGAATATGGCCAGAAAGACAAGTTTTATATCAAGCTACAGCTTGTGTCCCGCAGCCTCTGTTGGTGGAAACGACTGGCTCCTAATAACCGGACAGGCCTTTTTAACATGCTGACACGGAAATGGGCTCTACACAGATGTGAAAATCAGAGTACCTCTCCCGTCCTTACGTAGAGTTCTAACGAGACTTTGGGAGGGATGAAGGCGGCCGAATTAACGAAGTTCACCTGGCTCAACTCGCACGGAATCCTGTAGCCTCAGTGCACATTTACACCACACGACACCCTCTCCTTCTCCACATCCCTTTCCTGGTCGCCCTTTCGCCAGCCGTATTGGATCCAAGCGAAACATGGGACTCTAAAGCATAAGGAATGCTGGAGTTTCTCCCCGCGGTGTCCGGAGACCCTGTGTGTGTTTCTGGCTCTGGTCAGAATACAGGGAGTTGTAGAAGGACATTTGAAACTGAGAACGGGGGGGCACATCGTTACCCAACGAGCTGTGGGAGTGTGGAACAAGCCACCCAGCCATGTGATATTCTGGCTTCTTCCAGAAAACAGCCGGATGAGATCTTGGGATCAACTAGCTATTAACTCACAAACCGACTGGACGGGCTGACTCTCGCTTTTAAATAATAATAATAGCAGCAACCTTATTTTTTAGAAGGGCTTATGTTCATCTGGTTCTGTGTCTACCCCTTCCCTAATAGTAACTGTGCAATTCTGCTGGCTCCTCTTTTTGTTTTGTTTTTCTGTAAAACCCTTTGAGAAGACACGTTTAAAGGTGATATACTGTATAAAATCAAGAATAATAATAATAATAAAGCCTCTTCCTATGACCATCTGTTCTTACATTCATATGCAGCAGAGCCTTTCCCTGAAGAATCCCTGTTATCATTTTCTTGGCCTTTCTTGAGTTCCTCACACTGTCTGGAAACCTGTCCCAGTCTGCTGGGAGAGTACAGAGGCACTGGAGTGGGGCTGGCCAGCGTGTGGGGGAGACAGCAGACAGGTAGGCAGGTAGCCTGGGGGCAGACAGCCCGTGAGGAATCCACACAGACTGGCGGATCACACCTGTCTCCCGGAGGACTGCTGGGAGTTAGCACTACTGCATTGCTACACCTCAGGTCCCATAAACCCTCCTGTCTTTCACTCGGTCTGGAGGAGTGGTGAAAACAGCACCCCTATGATCTGTTTATTGAAGTGAATCGCAAATTCTTCAAACAGCTTGAATGTTTACTTGACTTTATTGTCTCAAATGGGAGATTTGCTTTGCAGGCAGATATAATACATAAGGCAAAACACAGTCCACACTTCATTTACACTGTAGCTTGATGGATTCCACAACAGGGATCCAGCAACAAATTAGTTACTTATATGATGAGAAAGAAAGAAATTGATAAATAAAGTCAAATGTTTGGTCTTTGACATTGCTCACAGAGTGTCTGTCTCGTCTTGTTATGTAAATGGAGATTTACTGAGAAGACTTCAATGCAGAGAGTTGTGTGTAGGATTACTGTCCAGGACTGCAGGTCTGACAGCGGAGGGACCTGGGGCCGTATTCTGTTGTAGTCTTGGGAAACCAGTGCCATTTCACAAGTGGCAACATGGTTTGCTTTCCGTGTGCCTCAGTACTCTGACACACTGGTGCAGCTCCGATGTGTTAGTGCCAGTTCTCTCTGTGCTGTGTGTGCCCCGAATGCACAATCCCTGAACTCCCTCAAAAGAGAAGAAGGTTTTTTTTACAAGCAGTTAAGGATCAGGTGAACAAAGGAGCTGATTCACCTTATCCTATTCCTACCTGTGCTCTGTTTTGCTCCTTGGTGCTTAGCAGAATTGTGGCCTGGTGCTGTCGGCTTCTAGATCCTGTGAGCTTAGGCCAGGGCATAAAAGAGCTAGCACAACTTTGGATTGTCCAGCTGCTTTTTGGACTGTTTAATTTGCCTTTGCTTTATTGATCGTGTGCAGAGCTTTCGGTCTGGAAGGCGGTGGGGGTGGACGGTACAGTTCGTTTGGAAACCAGGGCACAGGTGGGTGAGGGTGCCATGCTGTGCTGTACCATGTTATGCAATACCAGTTCAGGTGGGGAGCTGCGTCAGCATGCGTAGGCTGCAGAGGAACAAGTAATAGGTTTATTCCATGCTGAAAAGAAGAAAGAAAACACAACGTTTCAGCCGTTCACACCTGAAGAAGGCTCCACGGCCGAAATGTTGTGTTTTCTTTCTCCTTTTTTTCAGCATGGAATAAACCTACTACTTGTTCCCATGCTATGCAATGCCCTATTCGGGGCCTGCCGTGCAGTGCCAGCGTGGTGCAATGCCATTCAGTACTGTGCTACTCCGTGCATGCCACGCCATCCGCTGCTGTGCCATGCCATGCCATTCAGTGCTGTGTGCTGTGCTGTTCCATGCAGTGCCATGAAGTGCCGTGCTCTGCCATGGTGCTACAGCCCCTGCGGCTGCAGATCAAGAACTGCCTCCCATTAACAAGACAAACAAAGCCCTGAGGGAGACAATCAACAGGGAAAACAAAGCCGGGGAGGAGAAGGAGGAGGGGGGGGGTGTCAGATCCCCTCCATTGTTTTGACAAATTAGTCTCCTGTCCAGAGAGGGGCTCTCCTGTCTCGGCCGGGTTAGAGTCAGGCTGGCAGCTCTGCTGATCCCTGTCTCCTCCTCACAGACACGTTAAGCACTAAAGGATGTTGGCCGTCTGGCTGCGCGGGTCAGCCCCAGACACCACGGGCTCCTGTGATCATCTGCCCTGAGCAGCGCAGCCCCTGGCAGGGCCGCAGAGCGCCAGATAGACATCTCGGGACGCCGCCTGGGGCTAAAGGAAGACTGTTGATAGAACAAGTTTCCAGTCGTTTAGTTTTCCTGTGTTTCGGGGAAGAGTGTGAAGAACACCCAGTGATAAGAGAACCTGTTAATGGGTGTTGTGACTGAGAGGGAAACTGCTGTGATCTGACACCAGGAAAGCACAGAGCTAACGGTTCCCGGGCCCTGAAAGCCCGAAAAAGCTTCTTCCTTCGTATTTCCCTGCACGGTCTGCAAATCAGAAATTGTTTTATTTCTGCCTTTTCCCTCTAGATCTGCTGGGCCAGACCCTCGGTGCAGGAGAGGCTTTTACGATGTAGAACAGTGAGCTTTCCTGGGGGAGTTTGTCCCAGGAAGAGGTGACCCCCCAATCTAATGAGGTTGGAGAACCCCCAGGTGATGAGGACCGGGGGGCTGGAGCGAGGCCAGGATGTGGCTGAGGCAGGGAAGAGAAAACGAAACACAGAAAGGCCAGACTGGGAGAGGTCAGAGGTCGACCTCCCGCCCCCCCCCGAACATTCATTTAAACCTTCAGATGAGAAGAAAAACTGAGGTCCTGACTCAGCGGTTTCTTGAAAAGAGTAGGGGTGTTATCCCAGTGTCCTGGCCAAATTTCCCATTGACTTTTACCAGTTATGGCCTCTTAAAAATCCCTGTCACTGAATTGGCTTCATCACTGGGGTGTGGTGAGCATACTGGTGCACTATGGCTGCCATCACATCATCCAGGTGGGGCTGCACACTGGTGGTGGAGGGGAGATTACCTGTAAAGCGCTTTCAGTGGAGTGTCCAGAAGAGCGCTATATAAGTGTAAGAAATTATTATTATTATTATTATTATTAGCTCCATTACCAAGCATTTTTAAGAACAACATTGTCATGGCCGTCTGTGTGGGTTTTATAACGCTTGGCTGTCGAACAGCGCGATCACTCTCCCTGCTGGCGTGAGGGAGACCAGGTGAGTGGGGTGGACTGATCACCCCCAAAAACTCAGTCCAGTTCAAAATGCTTTATTTATCCCCAGGGGGGATATCTGTATCCCATTTGACTGCGGCCTCAGTGAGTCTCAGTCTCCTGCATGGCGACGCAGTGCGCTCCGTCAGCAGGCCTTGCCAGCAAGAGGTTGGTGGTGTTCTTGCTGGAAAAGACAGACAGGAAGTAACGTCCTTCAAATCATTGTGGTCCCTAATCCAGGAAGGGTTTCTCCAAAAGCCCAATATGCAGGGATTAGACTCACGTTATCAGCACTTTAATTCTGGATAAGACCCTAATACACAATAAAGGGTTTAAGATCAGATACTGGACATCAGGAATAACATGCTGTATCTAATCTGTTGGGTGGGCCTTCAGTTCCTGCCTGGAGGGTGTTGTTTGCGAGGTGGACAGGTCTGCAGCTGGGTGATTCTCTTTTTGAACATCTGGAACACTTGCCCACAGACTTGGGCATTTCAGGGAGAAAAGGCGCCTAACTGTGTGACAGTGAAAGGCAGATCTATCAACACACAATAGACAACAGCTGGAGTCTCATCGTTCACAAGGCGATGGGTATCAGATTTTCAATGAAACCTGGACGTCCTGCTTTTATTTTAATGAATAAATAACCCATCGATTGAAGCGTTAGTTCTCAATATATCCTGGTGAGGTCCATGTATAAACTTCTGCACGACATGCAGAATTCTGCAGACAAAAGTCCTCACAGATTCCTGCCAGAATCCACAGAGTTTTGTCAGGAGTTCCTGTTACAGTTTTAGAAAAAGGATCCCCTGTGGGATTCTAGATTTGATCTGTGTCACCACACAGGTGGGAAAGGAAACAATGAGTCCGAGGATATAATTCTTCCGAATCAACAGTGAAACACTGACCTGAGGACACATAGAAACTATGTGGATATGCATTTAAACCTGAGAACAGGTGACCCCTTTACACAAAGGGTTGTGGGAGTGTGGAACAAGCTACCCAGCCACGATGCTGAAGCTGATGTTTGTCTTTTGAGAAATGGATGAAATTCTTGAATTAGCTACTAATAACCAGTGGAACTATATGGGGTAAACAACCCCTCTCATTTGTAAACTGATGTTCATACAAACAGGTCAGCAATAGACTTGCAAGACCAATGTAATTTTTTTTTTATGTTGCAGTAATAATGGCCCTCCAGCGGTTTCAGAAGGGAAGTAGCTGGTGCTTGTCAGCAGTTACACATACTTTGGCACTATTGCTGATTGCAGGCTAACCTTTGAGGACAACACAGATGCCACAGGTAAAACGAGCCAACAGTGATTGACCTTCCTGTGAAAGCTCTGCTCTTTTAATGTGTTCTGTACAGTGATGACCATATTCTGTAAAACGGTTTTAACATTCACTGTGGTAGCCTGGCTTGGTACCTTGAGTCCATGCAGACTGAGCAGGATAGTGAAGGCAGCCAGCAGAGTTATCAGTGCCCAAGGACTGGAGCTGACAGACATCTACTAGCAGACAGGCAGTGCAGAAGGCCAGTGTAATCACTGACTGTAACGACCACCCCTTGCACAGTAAATCTGAGCTCCTTCCATTGGTCCATTTAATTACCCAGATTTAATGCAATAGAACTAAATGATCTTTCATCCCCACAGCTATTAACCTGCCCTGTTTAGAGAAATAACTAATTGTTGTTTTTTTATTTTAATATGTATCTTAGATTTCTGTCACACACACACACACACTGATAACCCAACGTCTTTATTTATCTATTCTGGACAGGGAGGATTATTTTAAGCTTCTAGATAGTTTTTTTTAATCTTGTGCACTTGTGTGTTTTTATTTGTTAATGGATTCATGCTCCTGGAAATGTATTATATAATTTGTCCATCTTTAACCTGGCAGATTTCCCAGTATGAACAACAAGGAAGGGCAGCACAGTGTGGCTAGTACTGCTGCCTCGCAGAGCTGGGGCCCAGGGCTCAGCTCCTGGGGTGCTGTCTGTGTGGAGCTTGTATGTTCTCCCTGGTTTTGTGAGGGTTCCTCTGGGTGAGGCTCTGGTTTCCCACAGTCAGAAAACATACTGCAAAGTTAAAGTGGCTTCTAGTAAAACTGGCCCAGGTGTGTGTGTGTCTGCATCTGTGTCTGTTGTGTGCCCTGGACTGGCGACCCATCCAGTATGTACCATGCCTTGAAGATGGATGGACAATAAAGTGAGGAATTAATTAAGCAATTAAGGTTCCCTATATTGTGGGGCACAGTGAGCCTGCACTGTGGAGGGCCCTTCAGTCTGTGAATCATGTCTGTTCTCTCTGGCTACATCTCCCAAAACTACGTACGGTAACTCACTTGGTCCAAGGTCTCAGTCTTGCACCAGAGTGAAGAGTTGGCTTGTTGGTCAGACCACAGTCTGCATTGAAAGAAAAACAACATCTTTCTGCCCAGTACATATGACATATGTGTTTTTTTTTTAACTGGCATTGCAACACTCCTTAGAAATCTTTTGCTCTTTGTCAAAATAAAAGCCATGTTCAGGTCATTTAGTTTCTGTCCTGGGCCCGTTTCCTTTTTTAAGATGACTCGTTGTGAGACAGCTACATTTACAAGGTGCCGTCAGGAAATAACAAATCGACCGGTGGGCTGACAGAGAGCCTGCGCTGCAGCACAGACAGCAGATCAGCTGTACCTGCGGCCAGGTGTGCAAACCGGCTCCTGTCTGCTCCAATTTCTCAGCCATCGCTGGGGGCAGATACTGACACTATTTCTGTATTATATATCGCATTGCGCCTGCGTCATTTCACTTACAAATTCAAATTCAGCTCTATTGGGATGTCCAGTAAATTACAGTGTTGCCAAAGCATATACAATCAATACAATATCTACCTACATTTATAATACAAATACATCATGGGATATTTAAATACAACATACGACACATACAACATTATGGAGAGACAAGCTCAGGGTTCCTGGGTATCAGGCAGGAGATCACGTACTGGGCTGCCAGCCCGATTGAGCTCCCTTGACACTTACTCTCAGTGTCACCCTTTTTTATCTCACACCTTCAGAGTAAACAGAGCCATTATCCACAGTGCAGTAGCTCCTTAGCCAGCGGGATTTGAATATGAAATGAGTGTGTCTACAACATCAAAGGCAGGTGAGGAAACTGGGGTGCAGTACTGCAGGCCAGGGCTTCAGAGACTGCCCTCTCATCACACGGACTGGAGGGCTAAGGGTATTTCTCTCCTTCGCCCACAAGCACCTTTTATGAGGAAGCTGTCAAATTAGCAAAGAGTCAAACATGAAAGAGACTGAAGGTGCCTGCAGGAGCCTGGCTGTCTCTACCCCCCCCCCACCCCTCCATACACACACACAAACCCCAACCCTCACTGGCTCAGATCACACACAGAAGCTCTCGCATATTAACATCTTCATCTGCAACAGATGCTAATTGTCGGCAAGCGCTGTGGCTGTGGGCACATTCAAAAGAAGCGGCGGCAGTTAAAATGGCGTCTAACTGGGAAGAGAAAGGCAGATCGTGTTGATCCCAGTTTTCGGTCTGGGTCCTAATTGAGGATTTGTTCAATATTTAATTGCACCCCCCCCCACCCACACACACACGTCTGCAGTCATTAAGGAGCTGCTGTCTCCAGCTCTGCAGCAGGCTGCTGTGTCTCAAGTGCTTTGATAGGGCCGTTGATAACAGGCTCCGAGGGGGGGAGGGCAGGGGGGGCTGGCCCTAGGTGGGGAGTATATAAGGCCACCTGGCGAGCCCAGAACCACCACAGAGCTCCTGGGAGCCATCGCAGACCACAGCACAGCCAGAGCACAGCGCAGGACAGACCACGGCCATGCTTCTCTTCCTGACCACACTGGGGCTGCTGGGAGCAGCCCTGGGCTTCGACCTCAGCCAGCCCACCCGCTGCGTGGCCATACCCCTGGAGATGGGCGTCTGCCAGGACGTGGGGTACAGCGAAATGCGGCTGCCCAATTTCCTGGGGCACAGCAGCCTGGAGAGGGAGGTGGTGCCCCGGTCCGAGGACTGGAGGCCCCTGTTACAGACCGGCTGTCACCCCCAGGCCCGAGCCTTCCTCTGCGCCCTCATCGCCCCGGTGTGCCTCGACACGTGAGTACAGAGCCCCCCCCCGCGCTCCCCCTGGCTTGCAATGAGGTTGTCATGCCTGGCTTATTTGCTTGGCTATCAAGTTAATGAGTTATGTGTTGTATGTTGCGTGTAAATGGCCTATGATGTATTTGTGTTATAAATGTCTGTGGATATTGTATTGACTGTACGCACGTTTGGCAACACTGGAATTTATCAGTCAGGCTAATAAAGCTGTTTGAGTGCATTGAGTGCATTTGCAAGGTTTGGAACATCTGTACAGCTGTGCTAAGCTGGACAGCAAGGAAACAGCCTGACTCCAAGTGAAACAGGCTCCCGCCTCTGTGAGTCTGCGCTGTCAGGTCAGTGTGTGACTGTGCCTCTCCCCCGGTCCCTGCAGGTTTATCCAGCCCTGCCGCAGCCTGTGTGTGGCCGTGAGGGACAGCTGTGCCCCTGTGCTGGCCTGCCAGGGACACTCCTGGCCCGAGCAGCTGGACTGCGATCGCTTCCCGGCCCACGAGGACATGTGTCTCACTCCCGTCTCCAAACACGCCCAGCACTTCTACAAAGGTCAGCCTCTTGGGTCTGGCAGGAAAGCAGGTTACGGAGAAGAGAATTACCCTCTGACGACTCACAGGTGGAAGTTTAGATGGCACCGGGAGGGTGGAACAAGCTACCCAGCCTTGTCCTTGAAGCCGATACCCCAGCTGTCCTAGCTGTTCAAGAAACAGTTAGAGATCCTTGCATGGACTCGCTACGAAATAGCAAGGCAGCTAGATGGGCTGAACAGCCTCCTCTTGATTGTAACCTTTCTTATGTTCGTGGTAGGGGAGAGGAAGCTAGGAAATAGTTATCGATAAACTAAATAGATCCCTTAATTTGTAAAAACCTTTCCTCTCAAGGCAGTGGCATGTCATAAACACTGAAATCGTAATGGAGAGCAGTAAAAAAAAAGCAAAATCAAAGGTAAAAATGACAGGACTGGCAGAGAAGTGAGTTTTCAGCTGCGTTTTGGAGGTCGCCCGAGAGATTGCGCAGACAGGGACTGTGGATCCTCTCAGCTGACCTCTGTCTGTTTTTTTTCTCCAGCTCTGCCCAGACCCCAGTGTCAGGGGTGCCCCGAAGTTGAGGAGCCCTTCTCTTCTAAGACGGTGCTGGGTGCTCTCTGTCAGCATGACTTTGGTAAGTGATTTGTGTCTTACTATCTTAATTGCCTTGCATGAAAACCTCCTTTCTGTTTTATATGGAACCTTTATGGTCCATTGCATCTCGAGCAGCTGTACAATAATATAATTAAGCACAAGTAAGACAGGAGTGCACATCCTGGAACAAATAAATATATCTTGAAGCTAATTAAACAGAAGTCCAGTACACAAGTGGGTTTGAAGGCTCTGAAGGCTCGGAAACTGGTGATTGACCTGCAAGATCTGATGTGGGCTGTGATGTGGAGGTGATTCCTCTACCTTGGATCACCAGATCGGAAAGCTCAGTCCTTCCAGAGTTTCGTCTGTTGGGACCGAAAGGGGGCTGGTGTCTGAGGTCGGTAAAGGACATGTAGGTGTGTAGGGGGGTCAATGGTTTACTGTTGTAGTCAGGAGACAAACTGTTCAGGCTGTTAAAAGAGAGCAGTAGTGTTTGAATCTCAGTCTAAAAGCCACGGGGAGCCAGTGCAGGGAAGCTAAAACAGGCGTTATGTGGTTATGTGGTGTTATATGGTCATGCACTTTGGTTAAAATGCAGGCAGCTGTGTGGGGCAAGCAGGTGTTTGCAGGAGTCTGTAGAAAGCTGGAGGCTGTGAAGATGTCCGTGTGACAAGGACGGCTCAGTCTGCTCTGCCATTTACCTCCACCGATCTGCTGCCTGGGAGGCATCCTCCTGGGGGAGGTGCTCTTTAGGATGAGAAGTGAAACCAAGAGGCCGATTCTTCGCGGTGGTTAAAGATCTCAGACTGCTGTTTGAAAGCGTTGGAGTCCCCTATTCCAAGTCTGAAGATGTGCTAGGCAGGGCTATTCCGAGTGTCTTCCTTTGCTGTAACTGGCTAATTCGTTCTTTCTTCTCCACTTCCGTCAGATGCAGACTGATCTGCCGCTGTGCCCCTTTCACAGGGTAGTGTGAAGTTCTTTCAGAAGGAAAGCACAATGCAAATGCAGTGTACTGTACTATTCTTTAAGAGCCATTCAACCACCGAGAGGCCATTCAGCCCCGTCTAACCCAATTGTTAATTAGTAGCTAATTAACCAGTGAAAGAGCTTCAACAAAATGGCTGGACATCTTGTTCCAGACTCCCCTAAACCTTAGTGTAAAGAAATAGAAATTATTTGCTCCTGCTGTGCTGTTGTTTCTGCTCTGTTTATTGATGTCCTGAGCATACCATTCAGCCTGTCTAACCCATCTGCTAATTAGCATCTAATTGACCTGAGAGGCTCATCCTTGAAAGTGAAACAGCTTCAATGAAAATAGCTGGGCAGTTTGTACCAGACTCCTACAACCCTTCATGTAAAGAAACTGGGAATTATTTGTTGCTCACCGTGCTGCTGCTTGGGCATACTGCGAGAGGTTGTGATGTTTTAATTGCTCGTGCTGAATCAAGGCTGTCTCCTGTTCTCCTGCTCAGTCCTGCTGTTTCTTTCTCGCAGCAGTGAAAGTGAAGGTGTCCAGGCGGCGACTGCCCTCGGAGGACCCCGAGTTTGCAGTGGAGGGGCGTGTGGAGTTCATCAGCCAAGGGCCCCTGCTGCCCTACGACACCCACAGTCTGCTGCAGCAGTGGCTGCTCATCAACCCGCGCTGCGCCCACACTCTCGCCCGCCCGGGTCGCACACAGCTCCACCTGCTGGCAGGAGACGTGCAGCCGGACGGCACAGTCGCCGTCACCCGCGTCTTCCTGTGGCACAAGAGAGATATGCAGCTCACTTCCGCCGTGCGCAAGTGGAAACACCACAAATGTTAGCACAGAAACTGTGGGAGGTCAGGAGAACACCAATCTGCACTGAACTGTGTTGGACAACAGCACACCTGGCTCCACTGAACTGGGCTGGACAACAGCCCACCGGACTGGGGTGTGCTGAGCTGGGCTGGACAGCAGCACACCTGGTTCCACTGAACTGGGCTGGACAACAACACACCGGACTGCGGTGTGCTGAGCTGGACTGGACAACAGTACACCTGGCTGCACTGAGCTGGGCTGGACAGCAGCACACCGGGCTGCACTGAGCAGGGCTGGACAGCAGCACACCAGTCTGCACTGAGCAGGGCTGGACAGCAGCACACCAGTCTGCACTGAGCAGGGCTGGACAGCAGCACACTGACCAGGCTTCACTGAGCTGGGCTGGACAGCAGCACACCAGGCTGCTCTGAGCTGGAACCACAACCAAGGCACTCTGGGACTGAGAGGATAATGAGACAAGAGTATCCTGGGGCTGGACTCTGAGCAAGGCCTGGGGCAGGTTGGGACTGTATAGCAGGGGTGTGCAGGGTAATAATAATAATAATAATAATAATAATAATAATAATAATAATAATAATAATAATAATAATAATAATTGCTTACACTTATATAGTGATGGAGCTGGGCAATCTGCTAGTCTCTAAAGGTCCCCTGCTGAGCCAATGGGCCACAGTCTGCCTGCTTCTGCTGCAACAAGCTAGCAGGGCTGGGAAGGGAGGAAGTAAATGCACTTGTAACAGGGCTCAGTGGCAATTATGTACCAGGTCCAGTGCCAATGAGCCCTGTTACACACTCTTGAACAGATCCTTATTGTAAATAAAAGCTGAAATGTAAAAAGTTATAATAATTATACTAAATATGATCGTGTATTTAAAACATTAAAAGCGACCTGCAAAGTGTAAAGTCTTTTAAAGGTTGCTAGTGCTGTTGCTGTGTTTGTTTTTTCGCAAATATGCAGTGTGTAAAATAAACTGTAGTGTTATGTCTGACTCTTCTGACCTATTTCATCATCATCTCATGGCCCGGTAGAGTATATTTACCCAGGTGAGGGGTAACAGAAGTGACACATACACACCTTCAGGGGGATTTCTGGGCAAACGTGAATATCAGACCACTTAAAAGGAGAAAAGTCTGACAAAAGCCCAGCCCCTGGGGTGAAGGTGTGAAAGAGGTGTTGTGGGGTGGCTTTGCTCATGAATGCAGAGAAAGGCAGCCAACATTGGCTCTGCTCACACTGTCAGCTTCCGGGAGAGTGTGTGATCTCCAGTCATGCCAGAGGAACTCTGTAATAATAATAATTAGCATTACAGAGGATCACTCCCTGTTCCTTAAGGCTGTGATAGGTAATACCACACTAGGCTGCAGCTCTATTGATACAACTCTAATTCCAGAGTATTTCTTGCAGTAGTTTCTTAGCTTAGTTTGTTCAGGCTGTTTACTGAGCCTGAACTGCATCAGGCTCTGGTTTGCCTCGTCGTTTCAGAACTGGCCATAAACTCTGTTTGTGTGTGACAGATTGTATTAGGTATTGAATTCTTTGCCACTTATCGGGCTCCTTGTGCATATGTAAGCTTTAATAAGCTTTTGCCAGTTTACAAACCTTACCAAGACCTGTTTTCGTTACACTGTTGACAAATAAGATAAATTACAAATACACAGACGAACAGCAGTGCTACTGCGGCAAAGAATTGTTTTCTGAATTTCTAAACCTCTCTAGGGAGATACCTGCAGATCAGCACACAGCAGACGCAGGTAGACAATTACTAGGCTGTCTCTAGAGAGAACCTACAGGGCAAACAACAGGCAGCACAGACTCGGAACACCTTCACTGGAACTTAGAAATTTGGGAAAAACATCAGAAAGAGAGGCAGGTCAGTTTAACGCCTCTTATTTTAGCTTCGGATAGTCTTCTTAGGGGAATAGTGCCACCTAGAGGTTCATCATCGCCACTTCCAAGATCACTGCAACCACAGCGCTTATCGGCCCACGTAACCCCCTGGACAGCTCAAGCAGTTATCTCCTGCACTCAGATTAACAATCAATTAACATCCAATACATTCTTCCATCTGTACAGAACTGTAGGCATTTACAATAAATACAGTTAAAAACAATATGAGCACTAAGGAAAGTAAAAGGGCAAAATGTTCAATCAAATCTGGGTTTGTGTGGGTCTAGTAGTGGTGGTATATCTGTTTGGCACTCGTGCACTACACAACTCTGCCACCGTAAAAGTCCATGAAACAGGAAAACCGTGTCAAGCATAAAAACGCTCCGCTTCTCGCACTGTCCGCCCCTGCAGTGGTCACATTTCCCTGTTCTGGCGACCCATGCGGTTCCCCAGCCTGCAGCCCTCGGAACAGCTCAAGGACCTCCCTCTGATCGCTTAAACGGTTGACTTCTATTACTACAGGGGAATTTACTGATAACCCCCAGTGCGCTCGGCTATACCCGACTGGGAAAATCCGCTGCCCGTCACCTACACATGCGAACGTGTTGCTAAGCGGGAGCCGGTGGGGGCGGAGCAAGGGGCTCCGGAACAGTCCATTCTCGGGAGTAGGGGGGGGAGGATCTGGAAACAGTACGATCCGACATCTAGATCTAGATAAACTTCCCAGACACTTTTGCTATCATCATGAATGTGGTTGAGCAAAACACAACTTACTGCTGTAAGCGGAGTTGCATTGCCTTTCTTTCTTGTGACATACGTACTAAAATATTCGCACACCTCAGACACAACCCACCCGCTGCTTCTCAGCTTAAACTGTCGTCACTTCCGCTGCATGAACCACGTGCTTTGCAAACGCACAACAACAATAACAACAACATGGTGGTCCGGTCCGGAGACGGGGGAAGGTACGGAGTCTAATGTGAGTGTTTTTTAAAGATATATGTGTGTATTTCATTTCTATTCGTCTAATGATAAGTTCAGTTGGCGACGGGGTGTTATCGGTGCAGTTCTCTTGTGAAATCTAGACAAAAGCCTTTCGCCGCGGTAAGAAGGAACATACGAGGAGGCAGAAGTTAGATCATGTGTGTTTCTGCTTGAAAGTAGTACATGGTAGCATAGTTTAAGACTAGTAAATTAGAGATATGAACCGGTGCTTATTTAGACTGCATCTCCTTTTTTTAAAAAGCAGAGGTGTTGCACCGGTGGGCTGGCTAAAGCGTGCTTCGGTCTTGTACAGTCCGGCCTCTCCAGATTTCACCCCTAATGAAACCGGTGAAGCAGTGTCTCTCTTTTCCAGCTGACCTGCTGTGTAGAGTAGGGTTGGGCGGCGAGGTTTGGGAGTGTACACCGAGAGCACTCGGCACAGCAAGACAACACGATTGTTCTGCAAACACCGAAAACGTGATCATGACCAACCCTCGGACTAAGAGCTGAAGAGACTGGTAGAGAAGACCCCTACAAGAAGAGATTTTGCGAAGAATTATAAAATTAATATATAAAAAGATCTTTTGCCACTTTAAATGTACCTTGACATTTAAACTTTAAAAAAAAACAATTGCCAGTTGTGTTTTGTTTCCATTTTTATGTGTTGTTTTACATGGGAACTGCTTTTCTTCATCTACGAGGAAGTGTCTGTATCAGTATTTTATATGCAGATTGAATTTGCTGTTACAGTCTTCCGTTTGTGTTCATGTTCAACCACCACCCTGAAGACTTCAAAACGCATCGACACGATTTTGTTTATTGTTGATTAACGGTGATCTGACCAGTTTTTTTAAAAACTTGCTTGCCTAAGCTAATCATTCAGTGATCAAACGTTCAAGGTGATATCGCAGAAACAGAAGCCGTCAGCGCAGAACTAGACACACATTCTGCCTGTTGTGACTCACTTGGCAATTCTCAGAGACACTTTGCAAAACCTTTAACACACACACACTTTAGCACAGCTCTCATTGTGAAAACCTGTGTCTTCTTGCTGTACGTTTTCTACTTAAAAGGCCAAGGTCTTTTAAATCACACACTGTCTTTGCAAATCCACAGGCACGTATCCTAATAGTTGATTATGTTTGCAAAACGTTTGTAACGAGGCTCAAAAGTGGAGTTGGAGCTGCCGGAACAGCTTCATCTGTTTTTTTTTTTCCTTTATCTGAAGTGCCCGCGTCTGCTCTGTGGTCGTCCAGGAGCTTCAGGGCTGTGCCCCTGGCCCTGCCCGCTGCCGCCACTGAGAACCCCTGGACTGTCCTCTGCGCCCGACGTGGGCGTTGGCGTCGAGTCCCCGCGGCAGTCGCCTGATCCCCGCCGCTCGCCATGCCGCGTAAAGGGGGGTCACGCGAGCTGCCGGACTTCCAGAGGGGGCGCATTGTGGGCCGCTGGTCTGTGGGCGAGAGCCAGAGGAAGATCTCGAGGGCGCTGGGCATCCCCGTGTCCACGGTGAACAGGGTGATCGTGCAGTACAGGAGGTGCCGCAAGACCAGCGTCTGCGCGCGGCCCGGGCGCCCCAAGCCGTCCGGGAGGCTGCTGCGAGCCGTGAAGAGGTGCGTGGAGGCCGAGCCCCAGCAGCACGCCGCCGACATGGCCCGGCGCTTCCGGGTGTCCACACGGACCATGCGCCGCTACCTGCACAGCCTGGGCTACTACGGCAAACGGGGCGTGTCTTAGCCCGCCCGCTTCCCACCCCGTTTCGAGTGGCTCCTGCTGTGGGCTTGCTGCCCTCCTGCCCTCGTGGACAGCGATGGTCCCGTTCCAGGGGTCGTGCTGCGCGAGGGGGACGGAACCGCAGGGGACTGGAGAGGTGTACCCCCGTTCTCGTCCAGTGGAGCTGCGGTCAGGGCTCTGGCACAGTCCCAAGACCCAGGTGGGAGTTCCTAGAGCAAAGTGCTTTACTGAGGTTACTGCAGCACACCCAGCTTTCTAAACCAGGTGCCCAGAAGTGTGCAAAGACAGCTTCCCCGTAAGGCGCTCTGGGCAACGTTCTGCTGAATTATAACCGGAAAGCTTAAGGATATTGTGGATAGCAAGGCCCTTAACCCCAGCTGCTCCAGGGGTGCTGTATAAATGGCTGACCCTGTGCTCTGACCCCCAGCTTCTCTCCCTGTCTGTGTGTCTCATGGAGAGCAAGCAGGGGTATGTGAGAAGACAAATTCCTAATGCAAGATATTGTATAGGGCCAATAAAGTGATCTTATCTTATATACAGGTAGTGGACAGAAAAAATGGTAACACTGATACAAAGTCACTTAACATGCTGTTGGGCCATCACTTGTGGTCAGTGCAGCCCGTATGGCAGTCGTCTGTGTGTCGGGAATAGTGAAGGACGATTCATCTCGCCATATCGCGTTTCTCCACTGCCCGGCAGTCCTTTGCCAGTGCTTTTCGCAACACTGGGCCCGTGGCCGTGCATTGCCAGGTGTGAGGAATGGTTTTCGCACTTCGGCCCCGACTGCGTGGAGTTCTCAGCGGCCCAGATTTCGACGAAACTGGCTGCTCGCTCCTCAGGTTGCTGGATCTGGAAATGCGTGGCTGACTTGCCGTGCACGTCTTTAATGAATGCACAGCTGTCCTGATCTGTGGCTGTAGTAGTTCAGGTGGGGAGCTGCGTCAGCATGCGTAGGCTGCAGAGGAACAAGTAATAGGTTTATTCCATGCTGAAAAAAAGAAGAAAGAAAACGCAACGTTTCGGCCGTGGAGCCTTCTTGAAGAAGAAAAAGCACATCAGCTGTCGATGATGTCGATGAAGAAGGCTCCACGGCCGAAACGTTGTGTTTTCTTTCTTCTTTTTTTCAGCATGGAATAAACCTATTACATGATCTCTGGCTGCCCACCGTTTCCCTTTGCCGATGTTGTTCCCTGCTGCCATCGCCATGGCTGGTAAAACAACACAACCCAGACACTGGAGCTCCTGTCGAAGGCTCGCTGATAATCACTCTTTCAAATTCACAGCCTTGATCACTAGACAGCCATATTTTTATATGTGACACTAAGCATGCTGGGATGTCATTTGCTGACTTACTGCATGAATCTGCCTGGAAGCCTTTGATTTTAATATACATCTTTACCCAGGTGTTTACTTTTTATTTTCCAGTGCTTGTATAACTATTCATTGTGCCATGCAGCATCTCCAACAGTTATTCCCCAATCAGTTGGACCCTTCTGTAGTCCATGATTTTAGGAGTTCATTTCAGAATTCTCCAGCAACCACAGAAAATCACTGATCGTTGCAGAAAACCCACCTGAAAGAAGACCCTTTGTTTCTTCCTGAACTGTGCGATATCCTCAGCACCCTCACAGCATCCAGATGAAGTTAAAACTTCAAAAAGATGGAACAAAACTGGATTCCGGTGTTCTCTGTGAAGACCCTGGGGAAACACTGGTCCATGTAGTGCTGTACTGCTGGTGAACAACAGCACATCAGCTGTCGATGATGGCTTGCATTCACCGAAACAAAAAGTACTTTACATTACATTTGTGAGCATCCACTGTGAAATGGCATTACGTGATCGCCATTGGTATTCCAAAGACTATACTGTGATATTTAGAAATGTTTTTTACTACTAGTGATCTAATAGCTGCTAATTCTGTCAACAGCATTTAACAGGTTTTATCAAAACATTTATCATACTTACACTTACGTTCAAGAAACATACTCCATGACATAGATTAGGTGCAAACGTATCTGTGAGACATACAGAGACAGTCATATTCTGAGCTGTATGACAGGAAAATCACAGTTTTCCACAAATTTATTTCACTGAAAATATTTTTGTATTGAATTTAAAGTGGGTAATCACTTGCAACGATTGAAATCGCCCATACAGTGTCGATTGTAAAAAAAGTAATGATTTGCATTTTTCAAAAAACATCAAGATGAAGAGCCAGCTTGTCACAAAGTGACCTCAAATGTAACTCCCCTGCTAACATGACTGCACCCCTTATACGAATAGAAAATAACATACCTTTTAAACATAAACCATTCATCATTTTATACGTGCCATTAACACGACATCCGATTCCTTACAGTTTTGGTTCTGTTTCACAGTCTTGTGACTTTTCTGTTGTGAACGTGTGATGACCGCACATTTAATGTGTATTGCCTTTTTTAAATCAAGTGATGTGGGATTCTGGAGGGCCTAATTAATCATGTTTAATGACCTACTGTGCTCCACGGTGTGTGTCCCGGCTCATGGCACGAGGCTGAGAGTGATATTCCTCTTGTACAGTGTCTCTGTAATCTGAGACTGTGGAATCGAGGTGGGCAGTGGCCAGAGTCCGTCTCCCACAGAGCCGGAAACTGAATCTCCGTTAATGTTCAGGCTCTGCAACAGTTTTCCCTGGGTTTTTGAGTGTCACCAGCCAGAGTGAACATAGTTTTTCATTTAACTCTTCTGTAGCTGGTTGAATCATTAATCTTTGAATCAATCTCAATCATCATCCTTGAAAAATATATTACATTGATCATTTTATTTATGTTTATAAAACAATGTATGCACACCTTGTATAAAACAGTCATATAGCAACCTAGTATCTTTCATCGTGTACATTAAACAGTAAGACCTGTGTCCCGCTGCCTGTAATTAATATCTGTAAGCAATAAAAATATTCTTACTAATTTAACTTGTTAGCTTTTTTTTTCTGGTGAAGGAAGCACCCCTATGGACAGCACAATTGCACAGTGTTAGCATTGCTGTCTTGCAGTGCTGGGGCCCTGGGTTCAGTTCCTGGAGTGCTGTCTGTGTGGAGTTTGTATGGTCATTTCCACCTTCCAGGTGCTTGAATGTCCTCATGCTATCCAAATACATGCTGGTAGGTTACTGGGCTTGTGAAAAGAATTGTCTCAGGTGTGGGTGTGTGTTGTGATGGACTGACGTCCCCTCTGGGCTGTGGATATTACCTAATGCTCCGAAAAGCATCTTGTTTCTCTTCTATGTACTGTAAGTACAGTGAGTCCAGAAGATAGCAATGACTTTTTTTTATAACATGCTGAAATATTTTTTATAGCATGATGTATTTTTTGCCTAAACCTCTGACATGTAACAATTTATCATATGGGTTAGTAACATTTCATTTAATTTGATTTCACATTTTGCAAAACATTTCAGGGAAAGGAATTACAGGACTTAAAACTTCATGTTGCTCATTTAAATTAGCTGCACATGAAATGAATAGGTTTGTGTATTAATGAAGGATTTGCAACCCATAAACTACATTTGTACTTACAATTCTTAAACATTCTGCATCTTATTCTGTTTTAAATTGACATAACATTATGATCTAATTCAATACTGTATACCTCCAGTTTATTACTATTTTGTTGGTTTAGTTTATGTCAATTTTTGAGTTAGTCTCAATCCATGATCTCAAGTTTGAGGTACGCCTTAAACTTTATTTGGTGACAGAAGCATATGGTGCTTTAGCAGTACTGCATTAGTTTAAAAACAGCATGTAATCTTTTATAACAGGAAAGCAATGTGATATTCATTTGTGTGTATTATTTCTTAACACATTTTTTTAACTAAGGAAATGTAAAATATTTTTACAATCAGCATGTGCAACTAAACAGAGACCCGTTTAATATTCTCTGCTTCTGCACAGCGATTTCATTTATTTCTTGACGTTGTGGTAAAGTGGGGGGTTGGGTCAGAAATGGATTCTGTGTGGTGTGTTGTTAAGTTATTACAGCAACTGCCTGTGATGCAATAGATTCCGCTTCGGTACTTTTTTTTTAGAGGCAAGACATCAAAGGAGCTTTTAGAATTGAAAAACGTTAAGTGGGCCGATGGGCCTTCTCTGATATGCAACTGTTATTTATTTCAGATACATAGCTGTTGTTCTTTATTTTGAAGGAAATACGACTTTTTTGCAAGCAAAAGGCACGAGGCGGGATGCACCCTGGACGGGACAGCAGGGCGCACGCACGCACGCACGCACACACACACTCACACTCTCACACCAGGGCCAGTTTTCCAAGAAGTATGTCTGGACTATGGGAGGAACCCCACATGGACAAACCCCCCAGTTCCCTCGTGAGGCTTATTCCCACAGTAGAGCACCTGATCTCTCTTCGCCTCACCCGGCCTTGAGCAGGAGGAGAGGAGAGCTGTAGCTTAAGCCTCACTTGTCCCTTCAGGGGCTGTTTCTCAGTGGGGCTCCTCGACAGAGCCCTCTGGGGGTCTTGACATACAAGCGACGCAGAAAGCGGGACACAGACAAGTGACACGAGTTCTGGCAGACTGGCTTTTAGACGTCAGGCAGGGCCTGGCGCAGATGGCGCTGCGTAAAACTGATCCAATGCTGAAAAGAGAAGAAGAGAAACAACGTTTTGGCCTTCTCTGGGCGTAGATCTTCTCATGACTTATGTTTGTGTTCTATATGTACGAGTGTCCTGAGGTAATACATTATTGATTTTGGGTGTGTGTGTGTGGGGGGGGGGGTGCTCATTTTCATGTGGCTGGACTCCGTACATCTACGGATCAGAATAATAAGTGCAGTAGTCTAATCTAATTGGTTTCAGTCGTTCAGAACACTATCCTTCAATCGCAGAAGGATGGCCAGAGCCCTCCCCACCTTCATCAGCTGTCTATCTAATCACCTCAGTCACCAGGTGCTTCTGATGGACTTTGACTAGAAACAATGGTCTTATCTGTCTGGAGGACTCCTGTCCTTTCAGCTAAGACCCAGATATAGGCTGCAGGGGAGGCAGGGCGACATGGAACACAACCCCTCTCCCAAACCTGGCTAATCACAGAGCCAGGGGGTCCTTGCTGAGTTGATCATAGTGATTAAGGCCAGCTGGCTGTAGGGAGGAGCATGGCATTCAACAGGTCTGGACCGCAGTGAGTGAATTAAAACATACCTCTTCGATTCACCGAAGAACTATCAAGCTGACCAGCGTGAAAGCCCCTTTTCCTGCCCACGTTCAGTTCATTGCCTTTAGGGAGTGCTGGATCAGCAACAAGTATGGGGTGAGAGGAGCACGCAGCTGACTTCCAGTTCAATAACGTGGATGTTTGTGACAGCAGTAACAAAATTCACTTCTACACCATCTAAACATTTCGGTAACAGTTTGACAGCTTAGAAAGTAACAGTAAGTAAGGGTGGGGCGGTGGTGCCGTGGTTAGTATAGCTGCCTCGCAGTGCTGGGGCCCTGGGCGCAATGCCAGGAGTGCTGTCTGTGTGGAGTTTGCATGTTCTCCCTGTGTTTGTGTGAGCTTCCTCTAGGTGCTCTGGTTTCCCCCCACAGTCCAAAGACATACTGGTAGGATAATAGGCTTTAGAGAAAATTGGTCGTGGTGTGCATGTGTGTGTCCTGCAATATATGGGCGCCCTGTCCAGGGTGTAACTCACCTTGTGCCCAGTGCTTGCTGGGATAGGCTGCAGCTCTCCGGCAACCCTGAATTGGATGAAGTTAGAAAGAGGATGGCCGGATAGATCAGTAAATAAAGCATGATTATTAAACACTGTGTGAACTATATGGTTTTGTACCCAAATTGAAGAGTACTTTTAGAAGAATTTGGAGAAACAGTTCACGACATCATGAAAATGTCATTTTGCTTCTTGAGCCAAGAAATACAGCCATGTTCCTCTTTCTGAGAGAATGTTTCGTGGGCCACAAGGCGCTGCAACATCAGGGAGGCCTGGAATGGAGTGAGCTGGACCTGGTTTAAACCAACAATGATTAAACAGACAATAACAGGCCCTTGCAGGCACAGATAAGAATTCCTTTGTCTGAGACACATAAGAGACAGGCTTGGCTGCAGTCAGTACTGGGGGAGACAGGCAAAGACATTCAGACGGAGAGCTGGAAGAGGACAGGCCTGCCAGTGAGTGGACACCATCCCTAGAGCTGCATCACAGAGGTAAGAGAAATTTCCCATTACCTGCTTAAACATTCCAAAATCCTCAGCTCTGGTCCTCAAGGGGCCAGAATCCAGCGCGTTCTAGATGTCTGATTCAGAGATTTTTTTGTTCTAGACCAGGGGAAAAAAAGTTACTCTAACTTGGTTCATGTAGGTATCATGAAGAGAGTTTGTTTTCCATGAAGGAGCACTCCAGTCTGTGTGGGGTTTAGTAGTAGCACTGGGTGGGGAAGGATGAGTTACCTCCACATGCAGTAGAAAACAAATCGTCTGTAAAGTGTGAACTGGGAGTGGTGCGAGAAGAGTTCAAAATCTGTGTGCAACGGAAGGGGACTCTTCTTTCTCCAGTGACAGGGAAACCTCTTTCACTCTTTGCAGAGAGGCATTCCACTGCAGAAATGAGGACGGCCATCTTCCTCGCACTCGTCTCATGTAAGTCAGAGAATCCTGAATGTATTTCGGCAAGGTCTGCGTGCGGGACTGACACAGGGGTCAACATCGCCACTGTTTAATGTTGCGAAAGGGTCCCGGAGGTCAAGGGCTCAGACACTGCAGTGAGAGCCCCATCTGTGCTCCAGAGAAACTAAACACCCAGGAGACATAAACCCCTAGGTGTCCTGCCCTGTGTAGCCCAGGCCCTGGAGCGCAGGGTTTAGAAACTGTCCTACAGAGAGCATGTGAGAAAGGTTACAGACGAGAGGCCATTCAGCCCATTAATCTGGCCTGGGTTGGGCTGTAGGGTTACTGAATTCCTGAACGTCAAGTAAGGAAGGTGAGCAGACTGGTCACTTACTTACAATCTCAGCTTGCTATCTGAGGAATGATGCTTATTGTTCTAAGATGGCCGTTAAACTAATTAGTAAATACTAATGATCATTAATAATAATAATTGCTTACACTTGTATAGAGCTTTTCTGGACACTCCAGTCAAAGTGCTTTACAGGTAATGGGGGCTCCCCTCCACCAGCTCTCAGTGGGGAGGAGAACAGAGTGATGAAGCCAGTTCACAGCTGGGGATTATTGGGAGGCCATGATTGGTAAGGGCCAATGGGAAATTTGGCCAGGACGCCAGGGTTACACCCCTACACTTTTTGAGAAACACCCTGGGATTTTAAATGACCACAGAGAGTCAGGACCTCGGTTTTACATCTCATCTGAAGGACAGCGCCTGTTTACAGTACAGTGTCCCCGTCACTATACTGGGGCATCAGGACCCACATGGACCACAGGTTGAGCGCCCCCTACTGGCCCCACTAACACCACTTCCAGCAGCAACCTCATCTTTCCCAGGAGTCTCCCCTCCAGGTACTGACCAGGCTCAACCCTGCTGAGCTCCAGTGGGCTGCCAGGTGGGAGCTGCAGGGTGATACGGCTAACTGACATCTGTTGCCTTTGCCGCCTGTCCGGTGAGATGACACCCGTCTGAAGCTCATGTTGCCCTGCAGGGGCGGTCGCTGGGAGAATGCACCATGCGGAAGAGGGAGGCTCGTTCAGGTTCTCTGGAGCGCAGGGATCCACTTCGACTGCCACGCGTATTGTCTGGACACGCAACGGCCAGGTCTGTGTAGAGTATCGTCCAGGGGAGCGAGTGGGGGCGTCCCCCTGCGACCCTCGTGTCTCCAGCTTCAGTCCTGCTGACTTCTCCTTCACTCTGACGGCCCTGACCACAGGCGACAGCGGCACCTACTGCCTGCGTCTCGGCTCCCAGCACGCACTGTGCCAGAACCTCACAGTTCACGGTAAGCTCCGTCCTCTGACCACAGCATCTCTGCATGTCCAGAAGACCTGTTTTAGGGATTGATGTGAAGTGTAGACAGCTTACTTTGTCTGTTTGATTGGGCTTGTGTTATTGTTTGTGTGTAGAGACCATTTGTGCAGATGTT